GGAGACGGCGGACCTCGGCAACGAGGAGCGGAAGCAGAAGTTCCTGCGGCTGATGGGCGCTGGGAAGGTGAGGCCCCTGCATCCCCGTTCCCCTTACTCCGCGGGCACACGAGGACCCGAGCGGCAGGAATCCCCCTCTCCCCCGCAGCAGCTACGCGGGCCTTTCTGTTATCGACGCAAAGAAACCTGCCTATAAGGAGGTGTGCTGCAGGCCTCGGCACTCTCTGAGGAAAAAAGGCAACACTCAAAGACAATTTTGCTTTGAGACTCTCCTTTAAGGAGAATTTGGGTTTCACAGCCGCAGCTGTTACGTCAGCTACCCTTAAAAAAATACCAGTTTGAAATTGTTAAGTCTGCTCTGCAGCTTCCTCCCCACTCCACACCTTTATGCTTTCAGATCAGCTAATAAAATTATTTGTGGACGCTTCTGAGAGAGTCTGTTGCAAACTAACAAACCTGTGCACCTGGTCTGTAAAATTCTTTCATTGGAAAAAAATTGAAGACTCAAAAAAATCGGTAGCTGATAGACTGAAAGAGCAAAATAATAAACTGAACTAATTGAGGAAATATTTTTTAAAGACAAAATGCTCTAAATCAGTATTTCTACTACTTTTTATTTTTTAAAAGCTGCAAAACTGGTAAAATATAATTGTGCTTTTTCCCTGCACAAAATGTTTTAGTATTGCAATTCTACTTACCTTCAAAAAAGCTTCCTAGCTTACTTTGCTTGAATCCAGTATCTGTGTAAGCTAAAACATTTTACTGTATTAAAGCGGTGAAAGTTAATGCTTCCTAGCTGATAGAAGTATAATACCGTATCAAAACATCTCATTATCACTAATCTTAACATCTACTTGGATACTTAATGCTGCTTGCAATGTAATGCCAGTTCTTGCATACAGATATACTTGCCTAGTGAGCAACTACTGAGCCAATACATTCATGAGTCCTGTAAAGGTCTTATCTGATACTGTGACCAGTCTAAAAGGGGGATCATCATAAGGTGCACAGACTGAACTATTGAATAGTGCTAGAGAAAGAGACCTAAAGGGCAAATTGTCAGAATCTAAATTCACATTTGTCCAGCATTGTGTAGTGTAGTTTTCATATCAGTGGCAACAAACAGAATAAAATAGAACCAGCTCTGGGGTGCGGGAAGAGCAAAGAGTATCTAATTGTTGGGGTTTCTTTTTCAGAAAATCCAACAAGTTCATAAAGAGGCCACAGTTGTTAGTAAAATTTACAGTCCTACAGTTGATTGTCAAGGTTTGACAGCAAACCTTTTCCATTCAAGCTTTCCAGAATGTTGGCAGAGCTGTCAGTGCACCCTAAAGCTCCAAAACAAACTGCCTTTTCTTTTAGAAAGAACATACTGGCCGCCTTGTTATCGGAGACCACAGATCAACCTCTCACTTCAGGACAGGTCAGTTTATCCAACAGCTGATACAAAGTTGGAAATCGAACACTTACTTAGGACCGTCCCAGTACTTTGAGCTTTGTAGATATTGCAGGGAGGGAATTAAGGTTTCATGGCTAAAGTTGGAGACAGGTCAGGCTGTGGAGTTACAGAAGTTTCTGATTTCTCTTGTTAGATTGCTGGAAAACAGTTTCTCTGACTGCAGTTACTTGCCTTTTAAAATCCAGGTCCAGTCAAGTACTTGATACTGAGTTAAGACTGTAGACAAGTGCCCTGTGTCAGGGCCTATAGGTCCTCGGTCTTATTTTTGCTATCAAAATAAGAAAGTAAAGTTTAATTGCTATTGGTACCCAGTAGTAGTATACTTCTTCCTTGCTGCCAGGTATGGATATCCAAACCTCTAAATTGTTGTGCATGGAAAGAACTGGGTTCATTTCTCCCCACACCTGGCTGTCTGTTGAGTAGAAAGATCTCTGCCTTAAAGCAACGAGGTAGAAGCTGAAAAGATCTGCAAGGTCATCTTGGCAATCAGTAGTAATTTGATGTAATCTAATGTATGACCATGGTAACTTCTTACCAGGCTTGCTTAGGTAGTCAGTCAAAGTATCTCAAAACCAAGCTAGGCTTGACTATCTGGGAGAGGCTTTGGTAAAGTTGTACAGAATAGCCGTTGTCAGAGTTCCAGAAAAGATCTTTCCCTGATAGGCTTCACTAGTAATTTTTCAGCTGATGAAAAGTTATGTATGGACCAGAACACCAAAAGAAGCCTGAAGATTTGTTCCAGGTTCTGCTGTTAGCTTGCAGAGTGAGTGAGAATCATTTTTTTGGATCTGAATTTCCTCAGAAGATGATGATGCTTCTTCTTAGAAGTCATAAAGAGTCAGTACTGCTTTGTTATTAGCAAAAAGATGCTGTTTCACAGAAAATCAGAACAGCTATTTTCTTAACGCTTTACTTCCTTGTCCAACATAGAGTTCGTGTCCTTTTGTAATAACATACAGCTCTGGTGTCTAAATTCAGAAACATTAATTTGCAATACAAGCTTTTAATTTTACAGAGATGCAAATTAAAAACTAGACTGTTGTAGGCCTGTTGGGAAAGAATTAGAGGTTCCTACAAGAGATGATTCTTAACCATTTTAGACCATATTTCCCCCAGTAAAAATGATTCTCTGTTTATTTACTGAAACAAGTTAATAAAGAAGTAAACAAGTTAGCATGTGGAAGTAGCTTATGAAAAGTAGCTTTTCTGCTGATTCCTAAAGATGGAAAGATGGAGAGCTGTAGTAACTGCTGCTAATGATTCAGGATGCATGAAATAGTTTCAGATACAGCTCTATAAAAGAGTGGTAGTATTGTCCTGACTTCTGCTGCTGTATGTAATGATGATTTAATCGTAGTAATCCCATGTTACGTAGTAAAGATCAGAAACTGTCTCCTTGCTGTGACATGTTGCACTATTGACGGGAAGCACAGAGAAGTCCTACAGGCTCCATTTACCTTGTTTAGTAGAATATACACCCTGCGTGGTACAACTCAGAAGGTGTCAGGTCTTGGGAAGTTACTAACCCAGCTTTGTATTGAAGAAATTTAACTTGCACACTTGATACAATTGCTTATGTATCTGATGGTTTGTGTGCAGTAGTACTCAATCCAGTAGTTTAGGATGGTTAAATTTAAACTTTTCTCAGGTATTATTGATAAACTTTGAAAAAATGACTTCATGTAATTTGATGTCTTTGTTAATGTGAATGAACCATAACCAAAGTACACTGGACAATGCAGGGGAAGAAGACAAGAAAATGAACGAAGAGTTGGAGTCTCAGTACCAACAGAGCATGGACAGCACGCTGTCTGGACGAAACCGGCGCCATTGTGGACTTGGTTTCAGTGAGGTAGTACATTGTTTATTTCTATTTGGCTTTCACTTCGCTGACACAAGAGGATACATGGTTTAAAAATGCCATCACCACAACTAGTGGCAAACCTCCACAGTTTGGGTTAAAGGACAGACTTTCTGCAGGCACTTGACCCCTGTTTGTGTATCCTGTGGTGGCAATGATTGATGTGGCTGGAAATGATTGATGGTTCTTATTGTTCTGAAAAGTGATATGACATGCTTAATGCTCCGCAGTAGTCAGAACTGATTAGGACAGAAAGTGACAAATGTATTAAATCAGGGTATTGCCAAAGAACACTTAAGAGGGCAGGGTGGTGTTGCTGATGGCTAACCTTCACTTCTTGTTGCAGTGAGGCACGTGTCTCTCTATGGTCCTGAAAAGTAAGTGGCTGTTGAGGGATCAGACAAGGGGAATTTGCTGTGTGGTGTCCTCCAGTGAGCTGGCACCTGACTGGTCTTGTACTTGCAAGGAATTCCATAGGAATGAGCAGGAAGAGAAGTGTGACAAACCCCAACAGAACTGGGTTATTACGAACGTGTCTTCAGCTGCCAATTAATTGGCAGTCAAGATGCAATAATTAATGTTTTGCTAACTGTTAGCACCATTTACTGCATAAAAACATAGCTGATGTTTCCAGAGCAAGTAAAACCACCTGCGCAGTCCTTGGGAATTTTTAAATATTACAGCTGTGGAGGCTTTGCTTTCTTGGTAGCAGTATCACTGGATTACTTCAGCATTCCTTATGCCGCAATGTGCTAAACTTATTTTCAAAGATTAGTCATGAGTGTGAATTCTTGATGGTTTAGCCATTAGTTTATGTTTCAGCCCCTGACAAATATTCAAGTGTTGTTATGTACTGTGTGCACCAGAGTAAGGAACTGCTAAACCGATGTGATCTGAAACTTTTCAGACTCATTTAATGGTGTCTTTAGGATTTCTGCTGTAAATAAATAAGAATGTGGCTGATGAGAGCACGGGTGTCACGGTTGGTACAGTTAAAGACTTCATTGGAGTTGCTGTCTTAAAATTTGTATATTGAAGATCTGTATTTAGCGACATGGCCCATTTTAGTACTAAAGTGGAAGGAACCATTAAAAGAAGCATTCTCACTGAGAAATTTTAAAAGCTGCAATGGAGTTGCCATGAAATAATGGTTTATCTGTCTTACAATCTGAACTTCTAGTTTCAGGAAGGTGAAGACCAAGAAGAAGCAGGTGGACACTCCTCTGAAGAGAGTTCAGAGGACTCTGACAGTGGCTCGGAGTCGGAGCAAGAGGAGTCTGCAGAGGAGCTACAAGCTGCTGAAAAACCTGATGAAGCTGAAGTTCCAGAAAACAAAAAAGAAACAAAAAGCAATTATAAAATGATGTTTGTTAAAGCTAGTGGTTCATAACTGCAGATGTAACAGCTTTAAAGTACAGTAAGCCTTATCGTTACAGTGCAAAGTGGAGGACTGCTACAGCACAAATCTTTGTATTATGATTTTAAAAAGACCCCATTAGATGACAAAAAGTTGTATTTGCTTTCAGTTGCCATGGATGACCCTTTTAAGGGCACAGTGATATGACTGTTTTTTGTAAAGTGTATAAAATACTGGATGGAGAAATAAATTTTTTGTTTCTGCCCAATCTTTACAATGTTCTCTAAACTCTCCCTCCCCTTATTCTGTGCCAGATGAAGAAACTTCATGTTACTGTTTTCTTTAGTCAGTACCCTAGTCTTGAATTTTTAACTATTAAGATTACATGTGAATCGCTGGATGTTGCATTAGTTGTAAATACCAATATTGGCACTGTTCTGTGATGTACTAAAGCTTTAAACAATGATTTTGTCTGTAGATGCTAGTGTTGACTGGGCTAAGAGGAGAAATCACTCGCTTTGTGACAGTATTAATCACTGAGTCCATCTGAAGTCCTACAGCAGTTGCATGGGAGAAGGTGTTTTAGAAATGCATGATACAACAGAAGGCACTAATTGCTTCTTTGGCTTTATAGTGAGGGGCGTAAGCTGTAGTTCTTTGTATCTTTAGAAAAGAGTGATTTTGAATTACTGGCTCCTGGTTACAGCACTGAGCTGCTATTTTTAATAACTCCTCTTGAAGAAACCAGTTTACCTTGAAAGATAAAATATACTTTGATAATGAAAAGGATACACAAATCATTTAGCTTTTTGAAATACAGAATACAGAGTTAAGCATGCAAGCCCTTCTTCCGTTTCTTCCCATAAATGCATCACTTGGAGGTCTGAGTCAATGACCAGAAAAAGATTGTACCTCGCAAGTCAAGCTGATACACCTAAAGACTCAGGAGTTCCAGTAACTCCTTATAGCAAGAATTAAGTACATCCATGCCTCTGCAGAGTTATGGTATTCAAGTAATTAATGAAATATCTGAACTTTTTAGACTTCTTTTAGTGCATCTGGCAGATTGACTGTCTGTCCTTGCTGAGAGAACAGATTGCCTGATCTGTACCTCTAGTTCAGCCTCATTCTGCCACAGCAGTGTTCAAGAAACCCTCCAGATGCTTGTGGAGAATCTTCCATTTCTGTGTATGATTTATGACGTGCAGACAGCACCTGCAAACCAGTTGGCTTACGAGAAAGCAGCAGTATGTACTATCTCTGTATAGGTTTATTGAATATAAACATTGCAGCATCAGTTGTCAGGGGATGGCTTGGAATACGTTACATTATGGAAAAAATAAAAGTGATTGTAAATTTAAAAAAATGAGCTTAGATTTTGATTAATCTGGTTTACTATATTTGCATTCATTACAAATTTTTTCAAAGTCGACAGCAACTAATAGGGATTTGTACCTGATCTGTATGGATTTTTTTTGTTTTTCCAATACTGCAAGCTTCTAATCCATAGACAAAACTTAAAGTTGCTTGTCTACAGTGAAGAAAACCTCACCATGAGTTATGAAAAATGCTCTGTTTCTAGGAAGAGGTAGAGGCCTGCCCCAGAACTGAAGCGATTAATTTGCTGAATAGACTCATACCAGATTTTATTTCCTATTTAGACACTCCAGCATTTCACTGTTAAATTCTTTTCATGTGGCTTTTGGCTTTTAATTGCCTTGAGTGCAATTAGAGAATTAAGATGTGGCTGCAAAATGCAGCACAGACACTGACCTCTGCCTTCTCTGTCCCAGCATTGAAGCTAGCACTTCTCCTGCAGCTTTTTTGTTTTTCCTTCTTTCCTGCTGCTGCTCAGTCTCCATGCAGATCTCTGGACTCGCCTGTCAGCATCCTTCCAAAAAAAGGCTCACTTTCAGAAGGTGTTAGCATCCATTGCTGTGGACCCACCGTGCCAGGCTGAGGGCCCTGCCGCTTTCCCATTAGCCTCAAAGGAAAGGCTCATTAAAACTTTTCCTGAGGGCTTTTCTCTGCAGTGCAATCAGCCTGGAAAGACCCAGGGAAAGCGCGTCCAGCTGGCAGGACCTGCGTGGATCTCTGCTGGCAGAACAGGCTGCCACAGCTCTGCCCTGAACTGACTACAGCCCATCAGTTCCAATATCAATATCAATAGATGGGCCACACAAGGATTAAAAAAAAAATAAACCGAAATTAGACTATTCTGGTAACAGCTCTTAGCAAGGGGGGAGGGGGGAAAACAACCAACCCACAAAAACCTCCGACAAAAAAAACAAAAAATCAACACAACTTCCATTCTCCAGAAGCATGACGTATAATGTTGTGAACATCTGATGAGGCTTGGTGCAACTCATTTCTGACACTATCTGCTCAAAATAGGAAGAGTTCTACACAGTCATGTCTGTCTGTCTGCAACATTGATTAAGAACTTACAAGCTCATCTGTGAAGTGGTCTAAGCAGCTTCTCCATGGGTACTGAGAAAGGCCGGCAGAGTTCAGTGTAGGTTGGGCAGTAAATGTTATAATTCAGGAGTCACTTTTAGCCACATGTGTTACAACAGCATCAGCAGCAGTGGCATGGACAGTAGCAAAATGGGTTCAGCTCTCATCAAAGACAGAAAACATTAAAAATAAAGGTTGGTTTCCTCAGCCGATTCCAGTCAGAGCTTTGCTTTTTCATACTGGTATTGAAGGAGCTACCAGAGGTAACAGCACAGCACATAAACAGACACCGAATCATAATGAGAGCAACTGCATTTGTCTTTTCAAAGAAGATTTGGCCACTGAAATTCTTCAACTCAAAACCCAGCTTTTTTTTCTATCTCAATAGAAAGGCAGAGGTCTACCAGAGGAAAGAACTGATTAAAGTTAGATGTGTCACAGAACAACCATCACATCTACTAAAAGTTCTCACCTGTTTCTAAACCACACTGAACATTTACGTACACAAAGGTCAGTGCAGGTGCATTATCAGCATTTGGCTTCGAGAGGCTGCAAACACAGGTTGGAAGCACTGCTGTGCCTGTTTCCCCTTCCGTTTGCCCTGGATGAGCACCAACACAGCCTCACCACCCTCAAGGTCCTGCAGCCACAAAAGAGGATGCTTGTAAGCCAGGTAAAAAGGGATCTGGTTCTTAACATCGTGCAGGAATTCTTCGAGGCCAAGAAAACCAGATCTAGAAGCTGCCTTGTAGCTTTATGCAATTGCTTCCTTTCTGAAGAGAGGGCTGGCAACTTGATTTCTGAAAGCACAATTTATAGGCCAGCTTCAAAGGTCCTTCTAAGGCTCTGGTTGGGGAATTCACATCAAAGAAGATGTGCACATGTTGTTCTGATGCCAGAGAGGATGGTTGGTAGAAATCTCTGTGGATTTGCTGCAGTCCCCAGTACAGGGATTGAATTATGCACTGAAGCTGCCTCTGTAAACTGCAGGAGACAAAGAGAATAAGTGGCAGTGCAACATCGCATAATCAAAGCCTGGCATGGTTATTTGCATCAGTCTCTTGGAAGCTGTCAGGGGATTAAGAGAAGGGACATGTGTCAAGGTACCTTCACTGAAGGGATAAAGCAGGAGTTGGTTTTGTTTTCGTTTAAGACTGCCACCTCACTTGCACTTTTCCTGAGAAAAATATCCAAGTAGTACACAGGTCATGTAGTAGTACACAGCATCATGATGTAGATAAAAGTTTCCTTAGTTTTTGTACATTAAAGACACCAAATACTTCATGATTTAACCTAGTTTGATTTGGTTTTGATCAAAAAGGTGCAGAAGGAGATCACACTGACAGTTTGTGCTATCATCTATTCAAATCCAGTGCCATTTATGGTGTCCATAGCCCAGGATGGTCTAGTTCAGGAGAAGGAAAAAAAAAAAAAAAAGAGAAGAATGAAGAGTAACATTTATCAGGATTTTTATAGAATTTGTCAAGCAATATAAAAAAAAACAACAAAAAACCCAACAACAACTTACTTGCTTTGAAATTTTTCACAGCTGCCCAACTTGGCTTGCAGAGCAATTCTCTCAAACTGTTACCATAAGTAAGTGTTCTCATCACAAGTATATCAAGCTCCATTAAAGACTGCAGAAAGGTTTGACAATCTGAACTGGCTCCTTTTCACCCTTTTATTTATTGCTGAAGCGTTAAAACAAACACAGGTGAAGTTTTTGAGGTCAAGTCTCCTTCCAGTTACAGCCACTGAAGTCTAATAATTGTGATCTGTTTGTAAGGATGCAGTAACAGAACAGATCTTTTTTTTGTTAATCAAAAAGACTTGTTAACTTAAGAAATTGATACCAGACACACACACACACAAATAGAGATCAAATTTACTCAGTAGTCAACTGATGGAGCCGCTACCCAGATTCTGAATAAAATTTGTGTATAAAATCATTTGCCAAGTAATTTTTAAAGTGGATTTCTTGAAGACAACTGAAGAGTTCCCAAGCATACGGAAGCCTCTGAGAAAGCCAAGGGACACAGCTACACTAATGAGATGTTGCTCTTTCTTCCTTTTGAGCATCTCATCCAGATTAGGACTTGGAAAGTGAGCAGAGCAGCCGGTTCTGGTACTCATCTCAGCAGTGGTCCCTCAGATGTTGCTGATTCTGTGTCTTAGCACCAAAAGAAAGAAGAATGGGATTGACATGCATGTGTTCATGGGTTCATACCCTCCCCCAGCACAGACACACTAAAACTGTATTGAGCAGATGACAAAACCCTGTTCCACACCAGGAAAAGATGCTGCTCAAAGGCACAATATGGAAAGATCAAAGACACAGAAGAACTGTTTAGCATGAACTAAACAGTCAGCAAAGCCAACAAAACAGACAATACAAGAGACAAATAGATGTAGCAGTGACTTCTCTGATGACAACTTTTCCCCCCAGAGTGGCACAACTCACTGGAATTAGATGTCAGCAGCTACTTCGTTTCATTACATCTTGCATAAGCCATCAGCCAGGGTTTAAAAAAAAAACCACCTCCAAAAACCTCCCATGTCTCAAGAGATCAGCTGGAAAATGATGTTAAGGCTTATCCCAATTCTGGCTCCAAAGACAAAAATCAAGCCAGTGCAAACCCCCTCACAATGGAAATGACAGAGACAGCAGCAGCCCACACAGCGCTCAGTGCTGCACTGGCACCTCACAACTGCTGAGGAGGACTTGCTTGGGCCGGGCTCGACCTTTCCCAGCACTGGTAGCCATTCACTCCTTGTAGCCATTCTCCACTGCAGCTTGGCTTAACAGGACAG